GCGTCATGCTAGTCAAATATAAAAAGCTACAAAACTTAAAAAGTTTTCTTTGAAAGGCTAAAGAATATTTTCATGCACTTTTTCATGTGGACTACATTAAGCTGAGCTAGCATTATTATCACAGAAATCCCAGTCTTGACTAACATCAGTTTTTATCAACTAATGAGCAAGAAATACAAATATTACAAAGTTTATTCACCTGGTTATCAGTTCGAAGGCAACACCACACCAATCGATACTTTCTTACATTTAACAATATGCCTAAATGATTGTTACTGTTACTATATCAGCATATCATGTGTTTTATACTTCATTGTATTAATGTAGAAAATTTTCAAAATTAGTTATTTATATAGCCATGCGCAGTTTCCGCAAAACACGTTGGTTAAGTTAGTAGTTAAGTTCCTTTTGCTCTATCTAACGTTTGTTCTATCATTCACCTAGGGTAACACCACTTGTTTTCCCGTGGGTAAGATATTAGTACGTGAAGTTAGACAGTTATCTTTTCTACTGGTAGTTAGGTCACTTCTTGAGGTAATGATTTCATTAGGAATGGCCAGTCACGTGGATAGCGCTAGTCGCTTTGGGTAAGTCTGACTTTATATTTAAGTGAGTAACATGAGATTTATCCAGTCTGGAACAGCAGTTCACCCGTTTACCTTTTTACGGTCTTCAGAGTTAACTTTCCAGTAGAGGCGACTGTCCGTTGTGGCAAGTATAATGAATTTAATTATATAAAAAAATAAAGATTGTTTATTGTGATTTTTTATTTGTGTTCAGTCTTTCTTCCTTTATCACGAACTAGTTAGTCAAAAAATATAGAATTATTTTGCAGCAAACATATTGACCAATCTTTCGTTATTAGCGGACCTATCTTGTCACTCTTAGGAGAAATTTGTGCTTTCTGAAAATACCAGATGCTCACTTGTCTTGTATGATAACTTATAACTGTTTACTATTATGAATGTGGTATGTTAGACCTAATTGGGGTCTAATCATACGTTTGTTTTGTAAATAATTTTCCCAGAAACATTACAAATACTTTTTCTGCATAATACTGATTACATTCATATAAATAATTTTAGTAACATTTAAAGTTGTTGCTTTGAGAAGTGTGAAAAGGGAAACGAATGTTTTTTAATATTATTATTATATTAAAATGTTTTCAAATCACAGTGTGAATAATTTAACTGAACGGAAGCAGCTTCGCCGCACTTTGTGTCAATTTACATTTGTGCAATCAAGTTCTGTTAGAAAATGGCCCGGCATGTCCAGGTGGCTAGGGAGCTCGACTCGCAATCTGCGGGTTTGTTAGTTTTATAACGTCTAATTGTACCGTACATGATTGAAGGTTGATTGGATGTCTTTTTTTTATTTATTTAAAAGTTGAATGGGAAAAGTCTAAAGACTATCCTTATAAGTATCGATTGGACTACACATTTGAACTGTTGGCCTTAACGAGTTTTCGTTTTATTAACTTTACTTAATTTATTCTTTTATATCAGGACGATTTCGATTCACTTCGGCCGCTTTGTTATCCCAGAGCAGATGTGTTTCTACTGTGTTTTAGTGTAGTCTGCCCAACTTCCTTTTACAACATTACGAAAAAATGGATCCCAGAAGTTAGGAAACATTGTCCAACTGCACCTGTCCTCCTGGTGGGAACACAGTGCGATTTACGGACAGACGTGAAGGTATTAATTGCACTCGACTATTACCATGAACGACCAATAAATGAGTACGAAGCTCGTGAGCTTGCTCAACGAGTAAGTGCTGTTGGGTACATCGAATGTTCTGCTTTAACTGAAAAGAACCTTAAGGAAGTGTTCGACACAGCCGTTTGGACAACACTTGAAAACAACCGATGTAGTGGTGTTCTGACTCCAGACTGCTGGAATAGGATCAGCCTACTCTCGTTTTCAGACAGCACAAGTGTCCCTGTTCCTTGCTCAGCTAGACTCACACTTGGTGATAAGTTCAAGAAGTGGTGGGGAAAGTTTTGTTGTTTTTCTTAGTTAGAATACAGTTGAATCATGGGTAGGCATAATTGGCACGATAATTTAATGTAATAATCGGAGCTTATAACTATGGATAAAAAATCTGTAGTGCAAATTTTACACATCATACTAGAGTTTGTTTTTTAATTTATCTACTCCGATACTCAGAAATATTGTACGATTTATGTCAAAATTCATAAAAAAAACACTAACGAAGAAGCTGTAAAACATCCTTGTTTTGAAACTGTGTTATATCTGATGGTGTTTCGTTACTTGAAAAAAGCATTTTATTAGTTTGTTTATGACAAAGCCGCTAAGGCTATCTGCTGGCTGCCAAAAAAAGAAAAAGATTGAAAATTAATTAATTTAATTAGTTTATTTCTAACGCGTTCATTATCCTTAGTACTTGATTTTAACTTTAAATATTTAATAGAAATATTACTGATGACTTCACTTATTATCACGATTAACACGTAGTTAAAAATCTCGTTATAACAGATTAAGTGTTTGCAATTTCGCTTTTGGTTTTTAGGCTTAAAATGTGCTTAGCATAACATCGTTTACTTCAAATGTGCATAGCATAACATCGTTTACTCCCAACTACATGTACATACTATAGGCGTATACGGATAATATCTGATGAATAATATCGAAAGATTACAAAACAATTAGTGAAATATTGATATCTTGCCGTACAGAAATTTAGATTTTCTTTTCTTACTCAGCTCAGAGCTCTATTGCAACAACCACTGACTGTCAATAATGTCGCCAGCTGAGTTTTGTCAGGACGGTCATAGGAAATACACAATACTGTTGAAGTGCTCAGGACAGAACACGCTATTTCTTTCTCAACAGGTGAAGTTTACCTTGGTTCTAAAGAGACTTTTAAGTACTTGTTGGATTTGGCTGTGACGTCAGAGGACAAGGGACATTTCATCCGAGAAATCAGCACATCACTTTACTCTTTGCGGTTTATTAAAGGCCCAGTTTACGAGACCGAAGGGTACATAAGAATATCAACTAGTCAGAGAAGTAACAGTCTGAGAGATCAGACAAATTATCCTTCTCTTTGTGGCCTTAAAATGATCCTGGCTTGTGAGTCTTTACTTGTGATTGCAATGACAAAGTAGTGTAATAGAAGTTATATTCCCGAACATTATTTACACAAAGGCATGAATGACTTACTCTCACACTGCACCTCGAAATAACCGTTGTACATCCACAAATGAAGTAACTCTAGCAATACCAATGGGGTTCATCTGGATCTCGGTGGTAGTTTAAGAACATTTTTCTAAACGATTTGAACATCAAATAGCTTGTGGATCCATGACTTTATTAGTTACAGGGTTCCTAATAACATACGATTCACACATACCTATTACACTTTAAAACGGCATTTCCCAGTCATTTTAGTAGCACGGCCCAACTAAACTACAATAAATTTCCCGAGGCCTACCGCAGAAAATTATTGAAGTATGATGCGTATGGCAGTGTTGTTTCATAGTTGCTATGCAAGAATCATGCGTGTGACATTAAATCATAGCTAGAATTTTGAGAGGTATTATGTAGTTTGCATTATACATTTGCTGTTGCGCAACATTTTAAGAAATATTGTCATCTAATCTTAAGCCTTTTTGTGTCCCATCAATGGGACGCGATCCATCCAATGGGCCGCGATTAATATGTAAGTGAACACATACATATTAATCTGTCGGATATGGTTTTTTTGCTTCTACATTTACCATGCCACAGTTTCAAATACACATGTGTACTTAATTTCACAAAATCAGTTTATCCTGTTGTTCTGTTTTCCAATTTCAAATGCTTCTACTATATCTACATATAATATGCTTAACATTAAGCTCGAAAATGATTTATGAAACTCACTGCATAATTTCATCTAGAAAAGATATTTGGCTTGACATCAACTTTACGTTCAGGCCTCTTTGTAGATATGTATATAAACGAAGTTGCTAGCCAGCTGCTTTATTTATCTCTTTCGAGCACCTGCTTGCAACACACATAAATTAGTCTGTCTGATCTGCTTTTCTAACTTGTGTAATTAAATATCCTCTGTACTCTAATATATGAGTGAATTGCTAAACCAGAACCCTAAGATAAATATCCCGTATCCGCTCTACACCTACAAACAGGGGTAGGTTCATATGAATAGATGTATGAGAGTCTGAGAGGGAAATTGCCCTCTTCTGAGAAGCTAAGACTTTTTTTGAAATCTGAAATTTCTCTATGCCCAAAACTTGACACTTTTCTTTGGTTTTTGCTGGTCACTTTCATTGGCAATAAGAAATCCGAATGACCAATGCTTTCTGCTACCATCAGGAACAATGATTTTGAAATTATCCCCAGAAAAATTATATTATGTGCTGTTCATTGATGGGTGAGACAAGGAGAGGGCGGTAGTCATACCTATGAAAAGAGGTCCTTCAAATACTTGTTATAAGTTTTAACTAAATGATAATATTTTGAAAGGAATCATCCTTTACGTCTATCTTCAACATTTTACATATTAAGGCAGTCCAGATTCGCCTTCCTTACAGGAATACGAGCATAATTGATCTATGAAAACAGACATAATATTTCTACCATTTTCATCTCCTTTTTTTCAATATATCTATTTACTGTTTTCTTCAATGTTGCTTTCTGTGTTAAAAAGGGTGGTCTGGATCCGCTCCTGACACCTACTATTTAAACAAACAGAGAGTAGAAATTAATCAGATTAGCTTATATTATATCTCGTAACTTCATAACACGAGCTTATTTTCAATGTTCAAAGTTCATCAGTTCATTCAAGCCCTAACTTACCTTTTCAAACACATTCTGTACGTATCTGTATGAAGTGATGTGTTTCTTCTTTCGCTTTTCTTTCCACATTCAAACTCCTTCACTACTTTCCCGTTGAAATTATCCAATTTTATCTACACGCCAACGTGCACTTATAGATATCCTCTATGCGACCACCTGAATATCAATCTGCTTGGTCGACTGCTATAATTTGCACTTCGTAACTCTCAGTGTATGCAGGTTTATCTATTTAGTCTACTGTTCAAAACTAAAACTTCACATAACGTTGACTTGTATGTTTTCTAATGTGTTTTGTGTGATTTTTTTATCTTGCCTATTCAAAAACACTCAGCATGTCTCTTTGAAAAATGAATTCACCTTAGGTATGATCTGATTCGCTCTTATGCATACCTGTCATTTCAGATAATCTATAATAATCCGCCATAGCTGCAAGAGGAAAGAACGTAGAGATTTGAAACTTTGCACGCATACTAAGGAGATTCTGAGGGTGTACATCTGGGTATCATTTTTTAGGTTTGACTTTAAAAAATCTGGCCAATTTTTTTTATCCTATAGTTTTGTCCTATAGACCTTAAGCCCCACAATTCTATTTCTGAAGGTCTATAGAAAAGTATCATATTTTTTTTCTAATTCTCACTCACTGAATGAACAATATGTGAAGGTTTTCTGCCAAATACTCTTTTTCAACACAAACATGGGAAGAAAAGTACAAATCTGAGGATTAAAAAAAAATTGAATTGAACTAAGTTTGGAGAAGCCGAAACAAACAACGGGAAAAAATATATGAATTGGAGAATATTGGAGAATTCGGAGAATTAAAATAACTCAAACAAAAACACAAGAGGAAAAAAAACAAGAATCTGAGAAGCTAAATTAAAACTATTTGCTTTTAAAAAGAGTTCAATCGAATTAAGTTAGGAGATGGTAACAGACAAATCAATTAAAGAACTGGGGTAGTTATAGAAGTAATTAAGATAACTGAGACGCTTGACTGGTACAATGAGACCTCCATGAATCATGAGGGACCTTAGAATCCCGCAGCTGAGCGTTGGTATTTTATGCTACTAATGAAATATTTGGAACATGTCTCAACTTGCACCATTAAAACTTCCAGTATATACAACGATAGCTACAGAAGGTGTTCAACTTGCACCTTCGAAACTCAGTAAATTAACCTGTTTGACTTACGGCTCAAATTTGCACCTTCAAAGAAACTTCCATATATTTTTACATCCAGTTATTAATTAATCTGTTTGGTCTGGTGTACTAATTTGTCTTTTCACAAACTCACCGTAGCTTCAGTTATTGAATAATCTGTTTGGTCTGGTGTACTAATTTGTCTTTTCACAAACTCACTTTAGCTTCAGTTATTCAATAATCTGTTTGGTCTGGTTTACTAACTTTTCACAAACTCACTTTAGCTTCAGTTATTGAATAATCTGTTTGGTCTGGTTTACTAACTTGTCTTTTCACAAACTCACTTTAGCTTCAGTTATTGAATAATCTGTTTGGTCTGGTGTACTAACTTCGCACCTTCAAGCAGCTACTGAACGCTTACGTGTAAATTGCTTTTGTATGACACCTTTATGCAAATATACATTAACATTCTTTTAACCTTCCAATCTCATCTGCATAACAAAACATCTGCTGTAAATTTAAGTAAACATATATAATGTTTGTCTTGAACCTAGAAACACCTACTATTATTCAAGGTATAAATTATCCTGCGAAGTCTGCGGTTCTCAGAAGCTATTTTAAACATCTATTATATATTCATGAATAATAGTTAATTTGCTTACACTATATTATTAGTAAAGATAGCATCCACAGATGTCGCTACTATCCACGTTTCGCATTGCACAACATTTTAAAGGTCGTTAGTTTTGGAGAATGACTATCGACAACACATTTTATACGCAAGTTACTAGCTGAACTGGCAACTATACAAGCCATCGTGGTTCGCGTGAACTTGTTAGCATGCATATATCCAACAGAACGGTTCCATGATATTTTATTACTAGTTAGTTGTTAAGCACCAAACTACACAATAGACAATCTGTGCTCTGCACACCACAGGTATTAAAACTCGGGTTTTAGCGTTATAAACCTTCAGATTTACCGCTGAGCCACTAAGAGAGGGGCTTTATTACCAGTAATAATAACTAGTGATTGCTTACAGTAGATGTCAGTTTGAACTTGTCCCATATTTATTTGATATTTTTAGTCAAGTTACACCTT